TCATTTGTCTAAGACGAACTATTCATATTTTATCTTTGTCTTGCAGAATACATATTGCATATACCCTTGCAAACTTCACTTAAGTCTGTTTTGTAACCTGCTTCAATTATTTTTGAGCGCCATCAATAATCAATAACTATTAGACGTCGAACTTAATTTATATAATTGGTTTGAATCGTTTTTCCTATGAACATAGTCAAGCTCATGTTAAACCCATGAATGTAGGGTACATAATGATATTGGTTCTATCTGCGAGTTACCATTGAAACTTGAATTCAACTCATTTGACTTTATGTTATATCTCAAAATTCAATATGTATGGTTGGACTAGCCATACCGATTGTAATCTCCGTCATTGTAATCCTTTACACATGGGACTACAGTCCCTATTCCAATAAGTGACGTGGAGATCTCCAGTTTGACTTTTTTTCCTAACTTCCTTCCCATTTGTTAAAAAAAATTTTAAAAAAAAATCCTCTGCATATTTTAATACCAAACCAGGGACCATGAATTCATTGAGCACAACATGCTTACCTCATCAATTTGGCCGATATAAGTAAAGTGGGCTCGACTGTAGGGACATAAGAGGGATATATTCCTCCACGTATTTGTTTAAGAATATTATTTTTTCAGTATCACACAGTTATTTATAAGGGATTCTATTGTACCTACGTTGGAATTAAAGTTAAAGTCTCATCAACGTGATCTGGACGTTAAAAAATAAGTTTAGTCCTAACAAATTGTCTTGTAGTTATAGAGATTTGAACCCATGTATTAAACAAGAATATATAAATTTTTATACACTAGATGAACAGTTCATTGGTAAGAGAGAGTCAGAGAAAGAGAGAGAGAGAGTGTGTCAATAAAGACAAGTCACCGGTGATTAGAAGTGTCGGGTTGTATTATTTCGTATTAAGTTGATTTCGAATTTGTGTTGAAAATCCTAAAAAAACGAACTTGATCTGTTTAATAATTGTGTCAAGATGTGTAAACATTAATTTAACCTGACTATTAAAAAAGTTTTTTGAACCCGACCTGTTTGACAAGTTTAATAAATATGTCGTTTTAGAGTTAACACACATACTATGACATGTTTAACCTGTTTAATACAAATAATTTGTTTCCACACATGTTAATTACTATTAAATACATCATTCACTCATTCATATAAAATTTCAACTAATTTTTTCACCAATAACATATCACTTTTTATCAATGAAATTAACTAAAATGTATTCAAGTTTCAACCCAAAAATTAAATTAATAACTATATTATTATAATGTCAATTATCATGATAGAATTAATAATTAATAAATAATAATGTTAAGATCACATCAATTATACATAATAAACAAATTATACTGCTATAAATGGGTTAAACTGATTTACAATGGATTAGATCTAATTTGTGTCCGAATCATGCCAATTTATTTAAAATATACAGGTTAATCAGGTCAAAATTAAGTTAACTTGATTTTGACATGAATCTAATATGATTTTTATCATGTTTAAGCATGTTAACCCTTATTTGTCTATTGATCTGTTTAATTTCGTATTTAACTTATTTATTTCATGTTCGATTCGTGTAGTATTAATATTTCGTATCGAAAATTGACACCCCCACCTGTGATGCATGGCAAGAAGCAAAGAGGCAGGGGGGTTCAATAAAGACAAGACACCCCCACCTGTGATGCATGGCAAGAAGCAAAGAGGCAGGGGGGTTCAATAAAAACAAGCCACCTGTCAAGCATGGCAAATAAAACAGGGGTAAAGAGCAGGGACCCAAGCAAGGGTTGGGATACGAAGAATATTCTTCTTATCTTTGTCAAAATTCTTGGTAGACGTGGACGATTCAATCACGCCACGCGTGGGGGTAAATAGGATCTTTTTAACTAAATGACCATATCTAAACACGTGCTAATTATTTAATTATTTAATAGTAATAAATTGAAAAATAACAAATTACATTGAAGTCCACATATTTGATTCATAATTACAATGAATAGCTAATAGTACTTGTGAATTATACTATTATACACCTTTCCGATTTGGATTTGAATTTGTACTTCGTGATATATCTTGTCGTTAATTAGCGATTAGTAAAGTTGTACCCAGTTTATAAAACACAATAGATAAATAAAGTTAAGTCCTTTTTTATACATTACAAATACTAAAAGTCATCCATAACCTAGTTGATTGTAAACTTATCATAGAGCGAAATCCCTTTAAATATGTATTTTTTTAAAATTTTTCTCGACAAATTATTTACCATACATTCAAGTAAAATTCATTGTATATAAGTGAGTCATTCATTCATTAATGGTGGATAATCCGTCAAGAAGTAATTTGAGGAGAAAAATACCCTACCCCACCCCTTCCTTCCCTGCCCTTCCCCTTACCAATTGTAAAACCTCCACCCCAAAATCCATTCCCATCCACCCCCCAAAACCATCTTCCCCTCCAAAGACACTACCATCTTTAAAACCCACATTTCATCGTTTCAATCATTCCTTCCAAAACACTTCCATTCCTATTAAAACCTATTTGTTTTTGTAGAGTACTTCACATTCCATAGATTCCTTACCTTTACCTATAATCATCATAACTTTTTTATATTTTGTCCCCCTAAAACTCACCTCCATTACGGCCAGTCTCTAACTTGAAACTCGTAACAATCCCACCTCCCACTTTATCTCCCTCATACCTGTCAACCCAACCCAAATATCCAATTCCCTTATCTCGCTTGCTTAACCTCCCTCATCACCATTATATCACCTTTAATTATCATAACAAATGTATAAATATCTTTAGATAAAAACAACAAGAGAGAGGAAGATTAAAAGGGGTTTTGTCACATGGTGGTTTCTAGGGATGGTGGGTGGGGTTATGTTAACCTAGGGTCTTGAGTGTCTATCTTTTTATTCTGACAAAAAACTTTAGAGCAACGGGAATATATGATGACAAGGACAAATTTGTATTCCTCTTTAAGTTACCGACAAAATAATAATTGAACCACTCCTATTATTACTATAAAGAAGTAAATTCTAATATCGGGTGTGGATATAATTTCAAAAACTATGGGGTCATGCCCCTTGAAATTGTCGATAAAGGGGGTGTTCATATAACATGCCATTAAAAAATTGTTTAATGTTCAAATCATAGGTGCTTCCCTGCACCAATGAGAACCCCAAGTTCTGAGGTGGCCGGATAAGAACCATAAGCAACTGACCTAAATTTTTTCCCAATGCTTATCTATTCCTACCAACACGTGTCGCATAGATAACTGGGGATGACATCACCTACGAAAATGATTCCACAAAAAATAATGTATTTTTATTCTTATTCCTTGGATGAGAATGTATCTGGTCGTCTCCGTAACTCTTTTTCTCGATTTCACTTAACGGTGGATTATTTATTTTTTATTTTGGGATGTTTGAGTTAATTTATATACATTTTGACTAATTCTCCCTCTATTTCAGTTAAAAGGAAGTCATCTATATTAGGATTAGAATATATTCATGAAAAATAAATTACTCATAATCTGATTTTAAGGGGTTATTCAGATTCAAACTTAGGACGTCTAAATTCACAACTCGTCTTTATTATCACTTGAAATATCCCAGGAAATTAATCATCTACCATTAATACACACGAAACCCGCCATTTTATTCATGGGTCCGTCACCGATACATTGTCGATTATTTACATTCGTTAAAATTGGGGAAAAATATAATAAAAAAGATTCAAACCCTTGGAGAGGTGTTACTCGAGTAGGAAAATGTAATATACTCTCTTTACGCCATTGGCTGACTTGTTCACATTGGATTAATTTTTCTTCACACTAAAGCATACACAAATATACTTTGAATAGAAGAAAAATGGTGTGTCTTTGTAAGCCATAATGTCATACTTTTTGAGTACTCTCTTCATTCAAAAATGTGTATATATTATATGTTATTAGCTTTTACATTTGAGAAAATCAAAAGAGTAAAGACAAAGTTATTCCAATCAGAAGTGTTTCAAAGGAAATATTTCAATTCAAATAACTATGTTTAATTAAGTCTTAATTATATAATTAACGCAAAAAAGTCTTAATTTTGACTAAATTAAAATAAATATAATTGAAACCTCAGTAGAAAAAAAAAGGAGAGAAAAACGAATGCCCTTACTTAAATGCTTTCTTGCTTTCCTTTTGCAGGGAAATTCAAAATTCAACTCACTTCCTTAATAACAAAGGAATACAAGTTTACAGCTACTCAAAAAATTAAAAACTAATTAAAAAGTCGGTCTTTTTGAAATAGATTTACGACTAATAACTATTCGTTGTTCATATTAAAGGGCTTATTTATAGAATACAATCTTATTTCTTTGTTTTTTAAAGTTAGAACCTTCTTGTTGAATCATCATATGCAGTTTTTCAGTTTGATCCATTTGATGCAATCCCTTAAAACTTATAGTTACATCTTCTCCTTATCTGTTTTTGTGGGTTGGCATTTAATTCTCACATGAAAACAAAAAAACATCAAACTCGAATAGTTTCAATAGACCCACAACTTTGGCATAAAGGATTGAGTTGACTGATAAATTGGGTTCATTCAAGACTCTTGAAAAGAAGTTTGTTAAAGCTGCACATAGAAGAAAGATATAGAAAGCATATTCCCATAACATATCTGGATGTTTGTCAATATCAGCAAGCAAGTGCTAAGCACATACCCAATCCTGCAAGTTGGCTCTTTTGCAATGCTCATACACATGCTCATACTAGGTATGCCAAGTCAAAAACACCAATCCAATCTGATGTAATCCTAGGAAGAAGACAAAAAACCCTCCTAAATAAAAGGGCTAGCCCTCTCCTTTCAAACATTTCAAACACCCTCCTTCTCTTCTCTTCTTCTATACAATCACCCTATACACCCACCCCCACCCCCACCCCCACCCCATAAGGGAAAAATCCCTTTTTTGCTAAGAAAGCATTGCAAACAGCTCATTTTTGGGTCACCTTGCTTTGTGTTCATCAAAATTCTTTGATAATACCCACAATGGTAGGAAAAAACAGCTCTAATCTTCCTCCTGGTTTTAGGTTCCATCCAACTGATGAGGAATTAATCATGTGTTATCTTCGAAACCAGGCAACATCGAGGCCTTGCCCCGTGTCAATAATCCCAGAAGTCGATATTTACAAATTTGATCCTTGGCAATTACCCGGTTAGTATGCTTCATAAGGTGTTTTTTATTTCCCGAAAACTTTCATTCCTCGAGCCATGCTTTGATTAATTGTATTAATGTTCATCATGTACTTTGTGAAATATGTAGAGAAAGCGGAATTTGGAGAAAATGAATGGTACTTCTTTACCCCTCGAGATAGGAAGTACCCGAATGGGGTGAGACCGAATAGAGCAGCTGTTTCGGGTTATTGGAAAGCCACGGGTACAGATAAGTCAATATACAGTGGATCCAAATATGTAGGTGTGAAGAAAGCTCTCGTTTTTTACACTGGTAGACCACCAAAAGGTATCAAGACTGATTGGATTATGCATGAATATAGATTAAACGAACCAAGATCACAACCCAACAAGCAAAATGGATCCATGAGGGTACGCGATGATCGATAATTTACAACAAATTTCAAACAATTTGATTAGATTGAATCGTAAAAATTGACCATGACTCGTGTTTATATATGTTTCAGTTGGATGATTGGGTCCTATGTAGGATCTACAAGAAGAAGAATACGACAAGAAGTGTAGAGCAGAAAGAGCAGGAGGATTGGGGTGCTCAAACATTGACTGCTGATGATGCTAGTGGTTCACAAACATTCAAATTTCCTAGACCTTGTTCAATCAATAATCTATGGGAATTGGATTGTTTGGGTTCAATCTCACAACTTTTAAATGACAATGCATACAATTCAAGCTTTGATGGAAATTTCAACCGGCCGATGGAGAAGCTTGAGCTTGGAGAAATGTCATACCAATATCCAGACTCTGTCAAGTTGCAAATGAATCAGAGTAGCAGTTTAAACCAGCAAAATTTTTTGAACCCAGTGTTTGAATTTCAGTAAACTATTGCATTTGGGTGAAGATTGGCTGATTAGAGGAAAAACACCAACTGTTCTATAATTGTAAAATTTGTGATTAAATGAAAAGTTCATGCATGCCTTTCCAATATAACTAGCATATCAGCAATCTTGAGTTCAAATATATTTTGTTTTATCCATGTGGTAATCTCATTCAATTTCATTTATCGGTATAAAATTCATTCCAAAAGATTTTTTTGTTTAAAAACTTCTTCTCTGCACGACCCCTAATCTTAAACAACTCGACCATCACATTCTTTAATGTCTGACAACATCACTTTTACTTTAAATTACCTAATTAAAGAAGGACTTTTCGCACTGTGTACCCTAAAAGATTTTAAATTTCTCACATTGTACCCTCAAAGATTAAATTTTTCACATTGTACCCTCAATGTATCAAAAATGTTGTAATGATACCATTTTGTTAGCTTTTGTTATTTTTTTTGTTAAAAACCAACCTATTAACACTGACAAAAAACTAACGGAAAGTTAACAAAAATGTCACATTGTCAATGTCAAAAATTTAATCTTTGAATGTACAAAGTAAAAAATTTTAAAAATTTTAAGGTGCAAAGTGCAATTCATCCATTAAAGAAAAATAAAATAATTTTTATTTAAAATATAAATATTTTACAAAATTAATGGTCGGGGTGTTTTTAGATACGAAATTATTGCTAATGTTTGACTTGTTTTGTCGGCATTAATGAGAAGTATGGTAGAAATCAATAGCTGTTTCAGCCTTGTACATTAAACAAACCCAAATCATTTGACTCTTTTATATTTAATCTCACGTGCAGTTTTGTTGATGGCGATAAGTTTGTATCACTTTGTGGAAATAATGTTAAAATTAAGTGATAAGTCAGATACCTAGTTCATTATTTGTAGCAGCCCCAATCGACAAGGACCACTATAATGGAATGACCTTATTGACATTTATTTTTTCCGGGTCACTTTGAGGAATTACTTCCACCGGTTTTTATGTAAGAATACTATCAAGATGATTTGTAATACGAAATTAGTGGGTTAAGGTTTAACTCATGTGAGTTTGGGCGATAAATAGGTGAACTAATTAGATCAGTCAAATAAATGAGTTGACACTAACTTAAGTTAGATACTATAAGAACCCACTATAAAAAGTTTATATACGATAAAAAGTTTTCAAGGTTGTTGAGAGGGATTACTTCCACCGCTGCTTATGTAAGAATACTACCAAGATGGTCTGCCAACATGGAATTAGTGAGTTAAGGTTTAACTCAAGTAACTTTGAGCGATAAATAGATAGACTTATTAGACCCATAAAATAAATGGGTTGACACAAACTTAAGTTAAATACTACATGAACCCACTATAAAATGTTTATATACGATATGAATCTTGTGTATATCTATATCTATACTATTTATAAATGTCAACATCTGTAAAAAAAATTTTATTTCTTATTTTATACATAATTATTATAATAAAATCACTTATACCCACCTATATACTTTTATCTAACTTTTGTTTTTTACATCTATTTGATTTTTAACTTATTTTGGACTCTTTTATAAGGATTTTAAATTGTTTTAAACTCATTTATTAATAGTACAATTACTTATAATTATCTATATTTATATGAAGACGTAAAATCATATATATCTTAAATTATTATACACATATAGTTACTACACGACAGTTATTGTTAGTAATTATAAATAAGTTCATTATGACCCCAAACATTTTAATACGTAACGAAGTCACCACGACGCGAATTCAAATTCTCTTCATTACACTTTTTGCTTCGAGGCACATCATCCACCATTAATGAGTGAGAGACCTATTTGTATATAATGAGTTCCACTTAAGTGCACGGTGGATGATATGCCGGGAAAAAACTGTACCAGAGAATATCTCACTCCATGTGACACGTGGTCCATTACCAGCCCTATTAGCAGAGTTGAGTAGGTCAATTTTAGTTTTTTAGGATTTTGCTGTGATTGAAAATATGTAAAGTTGCTTACCAAACAAAAATAGAAAATATGCAAAGTTTGTTCAATGAGATGTATACAGCTGGCATATATAAAAGTAGGATGGTCACCAGACCTTGTGGTTTAGTATGTGCCAAGGAGTTTGGTGCATGCATGGGCTAGGAAAGCATGGGGGTTGAAAGAGACATTTTTTGACATTTTGTGGGATTTTTAGCTAATCTATCACCATAATTGCACCAAAGAAGCAAGTTCTTTGGTGGATAAGTTTGAAGTGCCGTCTGACTATTGGACTGACTGACTGACTTCTAGAGTTTCCTTGTCCTTTATATAGTCATTATTATTGTTCTTGTTTTACTATATTAGCATAATTAGTATAGAGTAACCCAATCCACCACATTCTTATAGAATATCGATATTTATAATTTTTTTTAGGTTAAGTTACACTTTTTTTGAAGTTGAAGTTATATCTGAAAAATCCAAAAGATATAAGTTAAAAAAATGTAATTTAACCTAAAATATTAATAACTTTCGATGCGTTATTAAAATTTGAATTTGAAAAAGACAAAAAAAAGATTACCAGTGAAGTTTGTGCATAGCCACCCATGTGATTATAGAGTTTTTCCCAAATTATCTTTCATTTGATACTTATTTCAATGATTTCTAACTTATTTCCTAATCTATTATTGTTTACTTAAAAACGCGGGTTTAACCCGTACTTTTCAATGTTAAAATCTATCTACCAACTATGCTTCAAAGTTTTATATTAAATGGAGATAGAAATAACTATAATTTGAAAAAACAAGTTAAAAAATATGATAAAAATATAATAAAGTTCTCAAACTACGGCTCAAAAGGAAAGCGTATTACTTTTTCTTTTCATCGGACTATTTTTAACAAAGACTACGAGCACACTTCGGAGTCGGATTGATCAATTCACCATTCTGAACATTAGGCAGAGCTAGTACAAGAGCTTGTTGTTGGTAGTCATTTGTTATATATATATATACTAGTCATAACCCATACCTAAAGGAACGATAAAATATAAAATTCGAGCGTCAAAAAAATCGATCCCACTATATTAAATTTTTCTAAAATATATTAATTACAAATTAATTAAATATTAAATAATGAAATATATGATAAAAATGAGTGGTGTGATATTTTTAGAGAGAAAATATATAATTGATTAAATATGTAATAAAAATGAATAATGTGATTTGACGTTTGAGTCTGACAAATGGATAATGGGTGAGGTAAGTGATTGATAATGATTTTGAGGGAAAAAATATGACTGGGTTAAAATTCAAACACACTTCTATTTTATTATATATATATATATATATATATATATATATATATATATATATATATATATATATATATATATATATATATATATATATATATATATATATATTCCTGAAAATGTTGATATATCTAGTAAAATTATAAAAAAGACAATAAATCCAAACTTTTGATAGATATTATATACCCTAATGAATCAAGCTTGTAAAATTTTAGTCAACACATAATATCCTACTTGTGCAACACTTAAGCAGCATGAAATGGACACACAACTACACACATATTCATGAATCGCATTCTCGACTCATCGGTGTCTGGATAGTGATATGGCTGACATGAGGATTAGCAGTATGAACAACACAATTCCACCAAAAGATCCGATTAACGCTCCCGAGATACGTTCGCAGAAGTCATTAAATTGTTGGCATACAGCAAACCAATTTGCTGAAGCATTCCCCTTGTGTGCTAAATACACAATGGCAGTTGCTGCAGAAGCTCCAGCAGTGAGAAGAGCCAGCATTGCCTTCACAAGTTTAGGGTTGTGAGGATTACTAAGTGCCATCAACATATAAATTTGTAATCAACTGATTAGTCTAAATCTTTAAACAAACAGAAACTTAAAGTGTCGGTTTCATTAAGAAGAAATAAACGACGTAGAGTGAAAGTGAAAGTGAAAGAAAGTGAAGTAAACGGAAAGAAAATAAAAAATAAATAAATTTTCTTGTGTGTATTTGATTCGAAAATTTTTAGACACGGTAATATAAGAATTTAAGTTTACAATTTCAAAAGAATGACAGATGTAAAAAAAAAATTATCCTAATTATTTTCCATTTTTCACTAATTAACCAAAGGTTTTGAAAATTTTAAATATTTTCTTTTTCTCAGCCTTTTTCGTCAATCTATATATAACCAAACTGACCCAAGATTCTGCATAAATTTCTTTTGAGCAAGGAAAATTTTGAGCCCCAACGACAAATGAACTTACGGGCAAGGCATTTTCGGGGAGTAGCCCGCTTCCCATTACTCAATAGAGTGATTCATCACACATAAGCAAGGGAACCATTGAAAGGTAATTAAAACACTAGAAACAGGGACTACCCGAGCTGTGGACGGCTAGGTCGGGATAGCCGTCCTCGGGAATGCTATGGCACCTTACCGGTGAATGTTGTTGAAAACTAATAATTCGTTCTTAATAATGATAAAGCAAGAACATAAGATAAGCATCTCTTTACCGTATCGAAGAAGATCAAGATGACCCTACTAACTGTTGCTTTGCTCCTAGCAATGTGATAGATGGACAGTGGTAGAGAGAGTGCAAGATATCCACATACTACAGAATTTGCAACCACAAAGAACCTGTTTGATAGAAACACAAAGCAAAATGCTGGAGTTTGGTTCTATAATTACTCGAAAATTTGTTGAAACAAACCCCAAATGATGAAGACTACTCACGTGAAGGATGGAAGATCATTATACTCAGCCCTGAAACTTGTGAAAGGTGTGAAGAATGGGAGTGTTTCATCGGTAGTTCCCATAGCAACGGCACTGCCTAATGTCCCGAAAATTGAGATAACCCGCAGAACAAGGTCTACTATAGAGATTCCTTTGTTTAAACCTTTTGTTGGTGGGGCAGCCATGGAAGCTTCACTAGCTTCAAGTGGTCCTGCCTTCATTTTTAGTGCTGAAACTGCTTGAACAAGCTGAGGGAAAGATGTGCATTTTAATACAAATAGGCATGACTAAGAAGTTTGTATCTTCTCAAGTAATTATCCAATGAAAAGCAATCAATGTGGATGTTAGGTTTCCCAAGTTTGGCATGGCTTTTTGCTTCTCTCATCAATCCATATTTCAATATTGGTAACGACTCAACCCCATTGCATCTGATATTGTCCGTTTTGCTTTGTACTGTACGGTTTGAAAACACGTTATAAAATTATAATAGTTTAAATGAAACATTTACATTATATCCCGTTAACCTTCACTAATCAGACGATGATCCGAAATTGGTATATGGACCAGATACGTAACACATCTCCACGCCTCACCCTTTTGCCAGGCTTCTTGGACTATTAGACTAGTATAGGTATGTTTAATTTTCTAAACTCTACCTGCTCTTACTTACTCTATCTTATTGCGTAATGAAAGTACACACAAGTGTTTGGCGTTTCCAACTGCAACAAATCCTGAACTTTTTCTTCTTCTTGGACCATTTCATAATAATGTGTTCTAATGTTTGCATTTTGTGCTTAATTAAGGTCAAATGCTGACTTAGTCATGGGCCAATGACTTCTAAGTAGAATCCTAATGGAAAATGAGGTCTTTTACCCTTCTAACGGTAGTTGCATAATGTTTTATTTGAAGTATTTCTTAATAGTAAACACCATGACATTTGATTTACCATTTAAATTCAAATTGAGTACTTTACCAACTAAAATTACTCGATCAGTTGAAAGAATAGAAGATGTTAGAATTCGATTTTGCTAAGGGTGACAAGGTTGTAAATTCAAAGAGCAGAACAAATAGAGTATAGAGTTATACAGTTACTTCTCATGAAAGAAGTCTCTTTCGCCTCAACAGGAAGAAAATTTATGCATCTGCCTATGTTGATGTTGATATTGTCATCTACTTCTGCTGCTTTCGCGGTCCATTGTCTATCAGTGCGTGCCAACCACAGACCTCACCGGTGCCATCACAATAACGAGCATCAGCGCCATCCCTCGTTGTCTCTCGCACAAGAAACAAAGAAAATGTTGCATAAGAGGTGGTGGTAAATAGTTTGTGTTTTGTAATAATTAATAAAAATAAAGAAAGGGTGCTTACATAAGAAAACAAATATGTAAGAGATTGAGAGAAGAAACTTACAATAACAACAGTGGGTGATAGCATTGCAACTTAGGCTTTACTATTACCCCAGGTTAATTTTATCCCGATCATCGTTAGTCTAACATGAGCATATGAGATCGATGTGTAGCCAAAGACAACTTGCCGAGTCACTCGAAAAAGACACATGTAGAGCATATCTAGTGCACGAGACTTCCGCCATTATAAGGTCTAGAGAGGATTAGATGTACGTAGTCTTACTTCTATAAGCAAAGAAGTTATTTCCGCGACTCGAAAAAATATACATGTAATAAACACGATAGACCATTCTTAAATATAACATTATTAATGCCTATGAAGAGAGCTTGCCGGCAAGTCATCCTTGGCTGCACCTCAAAGTAACCTCATATACACATGCAAGACCTTCGATGAATACACACAATGACAGTATTGAAATCCGAAGCATTGGTGCAAGGAGGAGGAGTTTTGTTTTGATGGTAAGAAAAATAGTGTTTGATTTGCCTACGAAACTAAGGTTGATCAAAGTTAGAAAGAGAAGAAATGAGACTCGTTTGAGACGCACCTATTCTCTTCCCTCTTATTCCTACTTATAAACATGCAGAGAGGAGTCTGGAAGGGGAGAAATGAGACTCCTTTGAAGGCTCATATCATGGCAATTATAAGCATTTAAGGATCAGATCTCTTTCACTTAATAGCCTTCATTTGAAAGCATGTTAGGATTATGATTTTGTGCTTTTTCAAAATTACATTCTATCTCTTGTTAAATTCAAATTATTGATAAGGGATTTAAATTCCACTAGAACTCTTTCAATACGTGTCATTTTATCTCTCAGAAGTGTCAATCGTATCGTGCCACTTTTGGTCTTGTCATTTTCAATACGTGTCATGTTTTTATCAATAAAAAGTTATTTAATCATGCAACGTTATGATATAAAAAAATATAAGACACATATTTTCTATCTATATTATCCGTTAATTATGTTATTCGTGTTTAACTTTATTTTGACACATTTATCACTGGTGTCAATGAGTCGTCGTGTCATTTTAGGGTTTTATGTCGGGTTCGTGTCCGTGTATAAAATTGACACCCCTAATTTCTCTCGGCATTTGGCTAAACATCTCTTTATAATTATCTTGCTTTAATTTCAAAACAATCAATTTTATCTGCTTTAATTGTTATTTTCCAATCAAAACACAAAGATAAGGATCAGTTGATATTCAAATATTAATTACTCAGTCAGTAATTAGCTATTAGTTTCCCAATATTACCTTTCAATAATTTTATGGGATTCAGTAAATCTTGTTGTCTTTAAAGTACATAATCCCAATCTATGAGGTGATTATAGCAGCTGCTTCTGCCCATAGCTAAGAAAACAGTAATCTTGGAAACATTGGGTGGCAATTTTTGACACTGATACAATTTAATATAATATAAATACGACAATAAGACAACTAACTCATCCGAATAATAAACTGGTCGGGATAGTGTCAACCGGGACCAACTCTCTTTTGACACAACTTTAGTTGATATTATAAGAAGAAAATGCTTGATTTTCCATTTTTTGCATTTCTTGATCTAATATTGTGCAAAACCCTGTAAACTAAATGTTTTTTTTTTCATTTGTTTATGCTTTCCTAGAATGCGAATCGATTAGAGATTATTTTATGGGGATACTTGTGAGAGAAAATTAAACAAAAATTACACAGATACGACATGTACATGAAATAAATTCGGCATAGCACTATCCAGAATAACACAACATCGTTATGGGCAAGGGTACCATTTTTTGGTAGTGGGTGCATGTCAATTGCAAACAGCTCAATCAAAAGCACACAAGCACAACTGTCTACAGATAGGTATAGGTTAGAGTAGGGGAAATGGAAAGAAGATGAATAGTCCTTGTGATGTAATAGAGCATGGGCAATGGAATCTCATGCATTTGGTGATGGAGTAGTGACATGGGGGCTGAAACTGCCTTTGTACCAACTTCCTTCACTAGGGAGGAAAACAGGTTGGCCCTCTGAACTCAGCCTCCTTGTTTTCTGCCACCTTTTGAGAAAAGTATTGCATGGATCAAATTCCTCTGATACTTTCTGGGCAATGCTATTAGTCTCCTATTTTGGAAATTTAATTTAATTTAATTATTAGATTAGCTGTGAGTGTTAACATTAGATGTAAAAACTCACTTTCAATCTAATAGTTGTAGTTAATTAAGTCTCCAAATTAGATCTTGGTAGTGTAAAAAATCGAGAAGCATGAGGTGGGTCATGAGTTGAATGAGTACTACATGAGGTGTGCTTTGTGTGTGTGCGCGCGTGCGCTAAAGCAGGTAAAGAATGCAGAGAAATTAAGCGACTTGCTTAGCTAAAGAGTTGGGATAGTCCATTATAATAGAGGTTCTTGCTCCTTGAAGATATATTTTTTGAGGAAAAAGATGAGTGCAGTAGGGTGCACTTTTGTGCTTGTCCTTGAGGCCGTGTATTGGCTAAATTTTTATACACAGGTAATCATTGCTCTCAATAGAGAATTTTCAGGAAATATTTGAGTGTTTATCCAGAGGCGTGACGTGGTCTTTTAGAAGTGATGATGTGACCTTCCAAAGATAGTGTCTTCTTGCCCAAGGTAGAGTTTATTGGTGAAAGTTCTCATTTATCTATTTCTAGTAGTTTCTAAATTGTTTATTGTCTTCTAGAGTCCCATAGTTGATGAAATGGTTAACCATCAGTTGGGTCTGATCTGACCTGTCATGTCTTGACCTGCTCGACATATACTATCCCGACTTATCCTTTATTCTGAATTATGTATTTTTCTGGTATCATCATATTCAATAGTACTTTCCGTGCTTTTAGCTTCCACCTTAGTGAATGGGAGATTCACTTATAGACAATGAATTCACTTAAATTTATGATAGATGATCCATTAAGAATAAAAATGACAAGAAAACATATTATGGGGGATCTTATTCCATATTACATTACCCCACCCTTCCTTTTGGCCGATGATCTCCACTCATACTTAGAATGTAAAACAAAATGAAGGAATAAAATTTATGTACGAAGCCGGTCCCAATGAATCAAAATAAGACTTTACTAAGTTGAGTTGTTCTCTCTCTCCTTATCGAAAAAGGTTGTGTTGTTGAGCAAAAAACAGGGGAGTGGAGTTCGTATTAAGGTTGATACTCAAGTATACCAAATCATCCAAGAAGCTTTAAATATCGTCATCCTTGCAATGCCAGATGGCCCATCTCTAGCATTGCAAAGCCCGTTCATCATATGGGCCAATCCACCCTTCGCCAATCCCTAATCCCATTTTCGGCCCACCTTAAGCTCAAAACAACCTTGCCGCAATGCCCACTCCCATGTAGAAATAAATACTTCATCCGTTCCTAAATATATATCGTTTAAGGTTTTTACACAAGAATTAAACAAGCTATTAAATAGCTCTAATATGAGTAAAAAATAATTACACAAAACTAAAATACTTTTATTCAATACGTATTGGGAATGAAAGAAATATGAAAGACATTTAACCTCCACCTAATCTAATGCATTGAAAAGTTAAGGGTAAATTTGAAAGAAAAAATATTAATTATGCTTTGGTTTCATTAAACGACAGATATTATGAAATAAAAAAAAATTGTATAAAATGACAGATATTTAAGAACGAAAATAGTAGTAAGTCGGGTGAATGACACTTTGGATGTTGAAAGATGTTTAAAATTTGGGTTAATTACAAATTATATTTAAAAGATTGTTCGAATTTTAATTTATACCCTCAAAAATAGAAATTTGTATGAATGTATACCTGAAACTAACAGTTCTAAACTAAATAGATAAATTATATTTAAACCCACCCATATTTATTACTTAATTATTTAGACTCATCACATTTAAAATATTACACTTACATCCCTTAAAAATTTAAATATAACTAAAAATATTCTTCTAATTGGGTATTCAAGTAATTGTATTCAAGTGATGTATTGCATTAGATATAAAGAAGACTATATAAATACTTACATTATATTGAACATTAAAATGATAAGCTTGATTTTGAATTTTAGAATATAACTAACTCACAAAATAAAATGTAGTATGAAAATTATAATTTTTTATTTGATGAAATTATTTTTTTAATTGTTATATTAACAGATATTAACGACAATAGATTATGTGTTATAAGTGCACAAACATTAAGAAGGGTAAAAGTACTATTCTAAATATGAGAGATGTAAATAATTAAGTAACAAATTTGAGAGAGTCTAAGTGTAACTTACCCAACTAATTTTAGATGGTAAATTATTGTTAGCTTCAGTGTGCATTGATATAAATTTATATTTTCAAACGTGTAAATTAAAATTTTTAATTTTTTAAGATATAAATTAAAATTCCAAAAAACTTTCCAGTTGCAATTCGCGATTAACTCTTAAAATTTTAATTTATACTATAAATTATCAAAGTTCACCCATTGAACTCTCGATCATAAAAAAATATATAAGAATATGGTACTGGTGACTGATGAATGATGTGTGAAAAGGAGAATCGAAGAGGAAGTGTAATCATTTCAGTCCCATTCGGCCCTAATAAATTTCATTACGAATCCGGACATTCCGTTGTGGGTTGGAAACGCAATCTTTGGTTTTGGCAAGGACTGTTCACCATTTTCTCTGCCTCTGCAATCTTATTCCCAACTTCTCCTGCAAATTTCCGGTGGTTTACAAGTTTAGGTAACACACCCACCTCAACCTCTTTCTTCTTCTTCCTATCCTCCATCACTATTCACGTATATTTTTATACACATGCAAAGATTTAAAAATTGTATTCTTGGTATTCTTTTTTTTTATATATATATTCTTGAAGGTGGCATGTCATAGTTCAATAGTCGAACGATTAATATTCATCACTTGTACATCAAATCTATGTTCTGAATGATAGCGATTAGCACTGAATCAGTTTTCGCTAAGTTTTAACATCTGGGTTTTCTCAGGTTGTGATAATTCACATCTTGAAGGTGAAAGATTTTAATTATATTGGATTTTTAGTTTGAGAATTTACGAGTAGATTATTGGGTTTTCTCTCTTCAGGGTTGTACTGTCAAGATTGTAATTATATTGAATTTTTGTTTGCGAATTAACTAGATTTTGGTTATTATATAATCCTTGGTTTGCGAATTCATAAGCAGAGTTTGGATTGTCATAGTTGTTATATGCATAGGTATTGTTTTTTGTTCAAATTTGCTTCTTTTTTGTGTGAATAAAATATTTTTTGCTTCGTTTTTTGTTCAAATTTGCTTCTTTTTTAGGAAAGATATATGAATAAAATCTTCGGAATTAGAAGTGTTACAGGAACACCATTTCCCAGCAACATATATGTTGATATGCCTTTATATTTAGTTGTACATGTGTGAACTATTTTTACCATTCCCTTGAAATTTTCTGGTATCATATTTAAGTAACCATCCATTTTATTGATTAAGCGTCCCGTCTATTTCTTGCACTGTAGCATGCTCCTACACCTGCAATAGGTTTATGTGATCTTTGTACTGGTTTAATGGTTGATGCGTTGGGAGTTTGCTCATTTACCTATAAGATTCATTGCTTGAGTGAGAGCTATTTGTGTTAACTTTTTCATTTTAGCAAATTTGAATGTACTTCTTGCATTTTTCAGCAAATACAAATTTAGCCTTTGTAAGTGATGAAATTAATTTCTATTAAGCCTTCTTGACATATACATTCTAGTGAAAATACAATAAAGGTCATTTTCTCTATCACAACCCCTGCTCCCTCCTTCCCTCTCTTCTCTTAGGGGGTACATCCTCAAGGATCAGATTATTGAGGTCTGCCCTACGACCACTCACAAAAGCACAAATATTGTGTATAACTGTAAGATTCACATGGTTTACTTGAAGGGCTGTTTTTTCATATTTGGACGCTTATTTTTTTTTTTCTGTCGGAAGTTGGCTATGTATTTGTTTCTTTCTGATGAATGATAAGCATTTATGCCATTGTTTTTCATATTTGGACGCTTATTTATTTATTTATTTCTGTCGGAAGTTGGCTAATGTATTTGTTACTTTCTTATGAATGATAAGCACTTATGCCATTGTTGCAGTTCATAGTGAGAGCGGAATATGTCGGACAAAAACAGTGAGGATGCCAAGGAGTTAGATCTTGTTGACAGTACTCCGAAAGATCAAGAGCATGTTGACCCTTCTGTGGAAGACCTAAAACTTTTGGACGAAAATGTGGAAAGTCCCATGCCCTCTCCCCAAGAGGAGGTAAGTTGCACCGTATTTGATAGCTCTCTTTATGTTATATTAGTTAAGAAATTGTTGAGTCCACTAATGTATTGCAAGTCAAGTTTGAGCTTAATCAATCTTTGTGGTGCACTTGTCAATTTGCCTGACCCCTAATTATGATATCCCTCCAGCAGGCTGTAACTTACACCATATCTGATAGCTCTGAGTTTATATAACTTAAAGAACCTGCTCAGAGGCTATAGCCTTCCTAGAGGGAAGAATTCTGAAATTACTTGCACCTTCTTCAAAATTCTTGACTTTGCTGACTAAAATAAGTCATCTGCCCAAGTGTTTTTGTTCAAGCAGCCCAAAATGCAAGTTTTAAAGCTGGGATCGAACTTCAGTGACAGTTGTTCATACTTTTTTTTTATTTTCCCCTTTTTCTGTTTTCTGCAGGAGGAAGTAATCAAGAAGAAGTATGGAGGATTAATACCAAAGAAACCTCCTTTAATATCCAAAGTAGATATGCACTCTTCACTTCTGCCTTTGGTTGTACTTATGGTTGCTATTGAGGTTTAGTTTCTAACAGCTGCAATTTTTTCTTTTTCATTTACTATCAGGACCATGAGCGTGCTTTTTTTGATTCTGCTGATTGGGCTTTGGGAAAGGTATTTAGTTAATTTTAGTTGGAACTCTAAACTTAAGCGTTGGTGTTATATTTTGTGCTTCTGAATTTAGTCTTAAGCAGCCAATTCCAGATTTGAATACCTAACATGAAGGACCTCCTCTTTGATCATCTAACAGCAGGGAGCACAGAAGAGCAAAGGACCACTAGAGGCACTCCGCCCAAAATTGCAGGTTTGATGTTTGCTTATTGCTAACTTTAACTTGTCCTCCATGCTGCAAATAGGACTGTGCTTTTGTTGAAAGTTCACGACGAAGGAAATATAACCTCTTGCAAATCAAAAATTGCTCGTAAAAATTCATAGAAGCTCATGTAGAGAAGACAAAGGATAAGTCATATTTCATGTTTAACTTTATCAATACTTCTCATTTCTGTTTTACCTATTGTTATATCAGCCCACACCCCACCAGCAAGTTCGACGCTCGGCTTATGCTCCTGCAGGTGAAGGTGAAGGTGAAGGTTTGTGCACCTGATTTTTCTTTCCCCACAAAGCAAGTTGTTCTGTCATCTCCTTTGTCTAAGCTCAGGTTCATTTTCTTTTCTCATATCAGATGGTGACAATAATGATGCTACTGCTTCTGAGGATGAGAGCTTCCCATTAGAAGTTAGCAACAACAACAATTCTCACACTGGGGATCAGAATTCTAGCAACTAATTGCGAGTGAAACGTGAAACACATCTCACATCCGACTGATGAACTACATAGTAATAACCAGGTCATTTGAGCCACTTAGGGTGCTTATATGAATAAGCCATTTGTTGCTAATTTTGGTACTTATTGGTTATTATCATATTGAATCCACCACATGAGCTACACAAAAGTGCATCATTTTGAACTGAGTACAGGTGGTACTGTGACAATTTTACATTTAAATTGCATATCCATGTATGGGGTTGGGTCTCCCTTAGGACCCTGAATGAGTTTTATTGAGAGTTTCGCATCGATTATTTTCCATCCCGAGGATGAACATGTGCAGGTAAAGAAGGACTATGACCGTAAGGCTTTTGGCCCAACAAAAATCACAAACTTATACTTTGCTGGACGGAAGTTGCCAGGCTCATTTCCTATTTCCTCTATTTCCTGTTTGGTTGTTTTTATATGAAGTGTTTTTAACTCTTCCAAGCTGGTAAATTTCACGAATACTCTGAAATTTGTAAGAAGTCGGTGTATTTTATCAACATATTCTAACATTTGAATGAAAATGGATGAAAGAATCCAACTTCTTCAATTTGGAAAACCATAGGAGAATGATTAGATGTTGAGCGTGGTAAGTCTTTAATCATGGTATAAGATAAAACATCACTCCAAGCCGGATTAGTGAAAATTCTCTCAAATTTTGTCCAAACAAAGCTCATTCTCTTGGTTATTCGATCAGGTATGTTGCCCTCATAATCGTAGGAATGACAATTATTAATCATTGCATTAAATTCTCTGACAACACAGTATTTCCATCAATTATATTTAATTGTAGATCACTTATTATTAATCAAGTAGGACCCACAATTTATGAGTGAATATTTCATATAAGGTAGTTCATGGGTGATTTTATTATTGAGTGAATCATAACTCCCCGAGTTTGTCATCTAATTTAATCGTAGGACAATTTCTACAAACTCTCTAGGATTGAATATATTCCGAGTAGCATGAACTTTACCAACTTCATGATTTTGATTCTGCAGATGATTTGAAGGCCAAGGTATATCCTTAATGGCTTTAGTATAAGAACTCATACATGATAACATGGGATAGATCTATCTAAAATCACGTTTTCATATGTTCATTGGTCATGGAAAAGACTTTTTGGTATATACGGACATAATCTTTTATAAACATTTTGGTGGATAATTGAGTCGAGTGGTTTGTGCTCAACTTAGATAAGACTTGACTCAATATCGGCTCGTATTTTAAACAAAGCGTGCTTGAACAATTTTTTAGACTTGTTTAAAAAATAAGCATAAAAAATGCTGGACCCGAGCTAATAAAGTTTGACTAATTTATATGTAAAATAGTCAAATTACTCGGGATTGACAGTTTGGTTCGAGTCTTTTGTTAAACGAGTCGAACTTGAATAATTTTTTAAATTCGTTTAAAAAAAAAAGTTCGACTCAAGCTCGCAAAACTTGACTCGATTGGATGATACCATGTATCAATGATAATGTGATTTCACCGATAAATTAAATATTTTCCCCATTAAGAATGGTGTAATTGAAATTCAGAAAGTACATAAAGGCAATAACTATAAATACAAGAGACAAAAGGGGCATCAAAGCAAAAAAAAATAATTCCCTCTTTTAATTGCGCCCCTCTCCGAAGTATTAGGGTTTCTCACTCACGCATGCATTGCCTCCAATTCCGCTTGACCGCCCTCTCTCTCTCATATCCATAATTCCTACAATCGCAAATTCATACAAAGCGTAAGCGCAGTCTCACTATCTCTCTCCCTATGTACACACTCGGACACACACACACACACACACTTGCGAACTCACGTTATAATCATGTAACATAGGTTTTGGCTTTTGAAGTAATTAATGGATACTATTAGGGTCTTTGCTTGTACTATGTTTCTGCTTGTGAAGCTGTGATGGCAAATGTGTTCTAGTTTTTTTTACCTGATTGAATATTCTTGTGATGTTCAATAGACTTGGTCTATAACTTGTTGTCGTTGTAGTTAGTTTTATCGATGTTGTTCTTTTAATGCTATTGTTTATCTGGATTGACTCGTATAGCTGCAGTTGGTGTGGTTTTGGCAAATTTTTTGATATTCTATTATTGGTAATTTTTATAGATGCATGTTGAGAGTGTCAAATATTTATTTCATATAGCATTGCTGATAGATATGGAAAATTTAATAGAATTGACTTAGTTTTACGGCCCCCTTGACTAGAATTCGAAATGAAAAAGTTAATTATAATGATGATGCATTCTAGTTTGACTTTGGCTGTACTTCAATGAAAAGTTCATTTAATAGAATGAAGATAAATACCCTTTTACTTGAAGTTCTGAAAATGATCGTTTTGTCGCATTTTGTCTGTAATTCATGCGCTCTGTTGTTTTGTCAGTTATTTCCCTTAAATTAAATAACGTTAGTTATTTTAAACTTTAATTATCATTTTGTTCTCCAACCCCATTCGTCCTTTTTTTTTTTCCTTGGAGTTTGTCTGCGGCTTTATGTTCTTAGAATTATTGAGTCTTATCTCTGATGGTATTATATGCTTTTGTTTACAGGGTTTCTGCTGTGCAATCTCATTAGAGTTCTGAGACTTCGAACATAAGAAGCATAGGGGGACAGTCAATATTTTTCAAAGTGAGCTTCATAAATAATTGTCTCTGCGCTTGTATAAGGAGATGTATGCAGTACATCGTTTGTCCTTGTTGGTGAAAGAAAAAGAATTGTTTTTTCATGATTGGAGCTTCTGTAGTCTTCAAAAATAAGAAGCTTAGGTTTTGATTGCATTGTCCTTGCTTAGATTGTAGTAGTCGCCTTAACTAGTCCCATGTGGCATAAGCAGATGCAATCTATATGCAGAATGTTGTAGGTTTTCAGCTTCAGCAAGCTCTAAATATTTTGTGGAATCAAGTCCAAAAGATTTTTGTGAGCTACATAAAAGATAGCTAAAACGGGGTCGCTTTGTTGTGTGGCTGCCAGGCCACATGAATCCAATGCAGCCAGCAGGGAGTTGTCAATGGGGACACACGAGCCTTACTGGCAAACTAATTCAAGCTTCTCACCTCCCCCAAGGTGGGATTTCCGGTTCCAAAATGAAGGGCTATCATTTGGTTCTCATGAAGGCATTCAATTGTATGGTTCTTCGACATCGTCAAATAGTAGAGAAAGTAGGAGCTGGATGAGAGGAAACCATTCTTCCGGTCACCAATATGTGACATCTGATGCTGTTGGGCCATACTTCAGTAGTCCTTCTGACATTTCTCCAGCCCCGCAGTGGACTCAGCCCACCATACATGACATCAGTGTTGATGATTATGGAACTTCAAGGAGAGGTACTTCAAAGCAGTTTATCTCTCTCTTGGCATTTCCTTATTGATGCTATCAACTGAATACCAATATTGCTTTTGGTTAGTGCTGTGTAGGATCGTGTATTGGTGTGAACTTATGGAAGGTTGTCTGCTACTCAGTAATGGTCATGAAGAACATAGGCAGTTGTTTGAGCCTGTATATTTGTGTTTTGGTGTTGACTCCTTATTACATTTTTGTTGCTTTACTGTACCAAAAATACTTTGGATTTATTTATCTCTTCTTTCCTTTCTTTGTATGATTTCATGAATGTGGTAGTTCTTAATGTAGTGAGTGTAATTATTAATATGACCTTTTGTATGGATTTACTTGCCTGTGCATGTTTATCGTATTACTCATTGCTGGTACTGATCAAGAGTGTTGGAGGGGTGGGCAAAGTACAACTTTTTGAATACATTTGTATATATATTGTTTATATATGTATTTTTTTCATCTAATTTGATGAGGAAAAGCTTATCTTTCGATTACAGCTGATTGCCTGATGAATTACAAGTTTTGCTTAAGTTGTGAGAGGTCTCAATGGAATGCGGTGGTGCTTCAATCTTGTTGCTCTGGAATACCTGCAGGTTCTCTGTTGGATGCCAAACCATTGTGGCCGAAAATTGATTCTCCTATGGTTTCATAGTACAGGCTTATGTCATGGGTCTGGGTTGTTTAATTTTCTTCAGCTTCCCAGAACCCACAAGCCTGCCTTCATATGCCATAGCATTTTACTTAAACAGTTTGAATGAAACAGATATCATGAGATCAGAGATTGACACATTCTTCTTCTTTAATCTGTTGAGGAGCTATAACACCTGTTTGTCTTTTTCTAAATGTTGTTGGGTGTGCATTAGTGGGTTTAAGATTGTTCATTGTTGTGATGAATTGTGGTATCTCTGTAGGGGACTACATATGCATGCATTCTTCTTTTATTTTGTTGGGTGTGCATTTGTGCCCCTGCCACCTCAGCCCCCCAACCCCAAAAAAAAAAAAAAAAAAACAAACAAGGTCGTTACCTTGCTCTCCAAGTCCCATAACATGTTTCATCTCTCTCTCATTAAAAAATATGCATCAGCTTCCAGAAACTTTTGTGCCAATGTATGCTTCATATACTTTTGTGCTTGTATATGGGGTCTCTGGAGGGAATGGTTTGCTTAATACTGATCTTGGAATGTGTCAATGTTGTGGAAAAGTAGAAACTAAATTGACTGTGCTCTGGCGGAGCAGATCGT